AGAGAGAGAGAGAGAGAGAGAGAGAGAGAGAGAGAGAGAGAGAGAGAGAGAGAGAGAGAGAGAGAGAGCTGAGTGGAGCTTTGGCAGCCATAGTCCCACATGTGTACATACAAAGACTTGTTATATTAGGGCTGTTTGTGGGGGCAGTCTCAGTGGTCATCGGGGGTTGTAACTGGAGCAATGCAACTCTGTAACCTAACCTGATGGGAGCATGAGGCCTGGAAAAGCTGCGGTTGGTGCTGAAAACAGCCATGCTGGTTGTAGTCATAGGTGGATTGAATAGGTTTCACCTATCTGATTCGTGGTTGGGAGGCTTTTTGACACACATATTCTAGTGACTTGGTAGAGTGTAGTGCTCCATGAATGTTTCTGAGTTTTTCCTTTTCTTCAATTGTTCTTAGCCGAAGCCGGGTAATGGCCCCGGTAGCTCAGTTTTTGTATTCTGATAAGGGACGCTAGGCCCGGTTCCCAGCCGTGTTGCTCCCCACGAATAGATTGGAGCATCGTCTCAAAAAAAAAAAAAAAAAAAAAAAAAGGCTTGAATTCTCAAGTACTTAGCAAAGTGTTCTCAACTCTTGTTGGTGTGCATCTTGTGTGCCAAGTCTTGTGTCATGAAGTGCGAAGTTTTAATGTTGTGAAAAATAGAAAGAAACCATGGAATCATTGCAATAGGGCTGATTCACAGAATCAGAAGAAAAAGAACAGATGCACTTCTTGAGCAACTCCCCAAACACAGCTGAATCTGAGCTTCCAGATTGCCTCTGGGAAGCTGAGATCAGGTCCCAAACTTTTGAAGGAGGTCAGCGTCTATAACTCACCCGCCCTTCTTATTTCAACATTGGAGAGTTGAGCTGTTAAATTGTTATCACCGACACTGTGCATCATGATCGACCCACCAAAAAGATCATTCTCCGAGTCCTCGTCTCCTTGGAACACAACATTTCTTGTCAGCACTGCAACTTCTGCTCGTGTGTCAATCACCTTTCCATCAAGGACCATGTTGTATCCAATATGCTCATACTTGAGAGGAGGTTCAAAAGTCACAGTTTTCCCATTTCTTATCGATAGAATGGTCACAGTGTCAACCTCAGAGTGATCAAAATTTGATGCTGCAATGGCAATTTCATCACCCTCTTGCCAATTGACTGGCTCTGCTAGTGTCAGCATAGTATCGCCTGGGTACACTGTGCCATCTAAGCGAGTCCACGATGGTATCTTGGGTAGTCCATGCATTTGCAGTGTCCCATCACGCAACGCCAGGACTTTAGAGCCATAGATTGGAATCTCTTGGCAGTCCACGTCACAGGTCATGGTGATCACCGCCTTATGAGTGTAGGGAGCATTAGGTAGCCCCACCTGCATAAGACCCTTACGCACCACAATGTACTTTGCAGTCAAACCGACATCCCTCATGTCATCAAACAGCAATGATCCTTCAACGACAACCAGCTCGAGATGTGGTGTAACCACGTCAAGATAGATACTCTCGCCAGGTGGAATGTAGACCGAGTCCCCAGGAGCCGGTACTGTTTGACTTCCTAGCCATGAGCTGGGGGAACTCCATAATGTCATAAACGAGTATGTGACACCACGTTTAGGTGAACAACCATCAGGTGCAACGCACACCCAAACAGGAACCTTTAACATTGCTTTCCCTGTGGGACTGGAAGGTGTAAGGCAGGAAAATGACCTTGGGGTAAATGGACCCATTACGAAGGCTTCTACTCCGCCAAAGAAGACCCGAACGCTTGTAATTCTGCCTCCAAAGCGAATCCCATTTACTTCCAGTGGTAACCCTCCTGCAATCGACCCTCTTGTTGAGTTCAATGCAAGAACATAAGGAGTTTTGGCCTCGCTGTAGGTAAATGATCCTGCTATATCCTCATTCACGTAGTCGGGGTTAATCAGGATCTGCACACAAGCACAGTTATTGATAGCTATGGGTCATAGTCACAGCAAGGAAACGCTTGCACAGGGTACCAGAAAGGCAGCATGTGTTCCAGCCTTTAAAAAGCCCTTGTAGAAGAAAAATCCATGCATGCACATAGCACTCCTCTATTGGGCACACTGTCTTCTTTTTTTCAATGAAGGGCAACGGCCTTGAGATATCATTGTTGAACTCATCGGCCCCAATTCCGTAATATTTCATTTCTGAATTACTTGTTCCATCGTGCTTTGAACTAAGGTCCATATTTAAACAGTTAAATCGGTGTACGATCTGAGCTACGCCTGTTCGTGTTTGGTACACTGACTTCATGTTTGATTGAATCTGGTTCTTTGAGTAAACAAATCTCTCTCTCTCTCTCTCTCTCTCTCTCTCTCTCTCTCTCTCTCTCTCTCTCTCTCTCTCTCTCTCTC